TTACTTATAAATTAGACGATTTTAATCATCAAGATAAATAAAATCCAAAAAATTAAAACGATAAAGTCTTTTTCTTTATCAGAAAACCGAGAAAGTCTAAACTTGAAAATTGCCAATGTCCACTAAAACCATATACACATATATGTATACATACGAAAAATTTTAACATGTATTGTACCAACTTATCTTCCGACCGCGGAATCATACAGAAATTTCTTCGGACAACAAAACTGGAAAGAATGCCAAGCCCATTTCGGCCTCTGATTTTTACTCCCTCCTAATCCTAAAAGTGAAAAGAAAAGTTACTCGCTTTTGTCCTTTTACCTCGGGAAGGCAAATTGTAACCGTCCTCTCATCTCTTAACTCGCCGTCTGACACACCGCCATGATTTCGAACATGGGTCCCGCCCGTTGGCAAAAGCCTGGGCCGACTGACGACAGCCTTTTGACGGCCTCCGTTAATCGGACGTCAAACGCTGTCGCTTTCACTCGTCTGTCCTTTCAGTGTTGTAGTATTACAGGTGTAATTAAAAAGTAATTTTGCGGTTAACAACGATTTAGGCGTTTCGCTAATCCACGAATGTTTCCCGGATTAGAGTATGTTCCTTTTAAAGCAGCATAACCCATCATTAACCAAAGAAAGATAAGGAATCAGCGAACCAATAAGAGCCTGCCACGCGGGATGAGAATCTGAGTACAATCTGACCAATAACACATGCATAGGGCAGGGCAATTTTGACCTCCAAGTCATAGTGAAATGATTTCTGCTGTAAATACATCAACGATGACTACGCACGGCTAATCCAAATGAGTCATGATGTTCGTCGGATTATTTTGTGAGGATTTTGAGAATTTGTAAATCGTGCTCGTTCATTGTATAATTATAAATAATTTTGTTTAAAAATAAAAATAATTTAATAAAAACTGATTGCATGATGTACGATAAATAGATATGATTCACGAATTCCTATCATCCTTACCAAAAGGAATCGGGAGAGGATCCTATTGGAATCCAAAGTATCTGGCTATCCTAAGTTGAAGTCCTTAATTTAATCACTTAAGTGATTTTTTAATGGTTGCATTTGTTTGTTAAACTTATTTAAAGTATGTACGATGGTTAATGAATGATTGTATTAAATATATGAATGTATTGTAGCTGATCAAGGATGTTTGATGAAATTGTTAATGCAATGTGTAATTTCTTATTGGTGGGTATCCCTGGTGGTCAGCATGTGCTTTCTAGCCACCGGTCGAGCGGCGGCACTTTTGTTGCTGGGAAAACACGACGGCGGAATTGTGTGGTATAGAGCCACGAAGGATGAGAATGGTGGTTGGGTCCTGAGCTAGATTTTTGTAAAACTGCGCGGAGGGTGCACTTTGTTTGGAAATGGACGGGAGGAGCAACGGCATGAGGAGTATGGATCTGGGAAGAAAATAAGGATTAGCTTTTCTTTTAATGAAATTACATAAATATCTTCAATTAACCGGTCTATCTGTTACTAATACGTTCCATTAATCATTTTTTTAAATATTAATTTTAACGGGTGAGTTGGGTCCAAAATGCTACCTCCAGGTGGGGCCACGACTCATGAACAGAGTGGACGACCGATTGTACCCAAATCTTCACTTCTTGAAGATGCTCTAAAACAAATGTAAGAAGTCATTAAAATCACAAGTGAAAATTTCTAATGGAGATTTTCTTGGAAAAAAGGTTGATTGGACATGCAAGATGCCAAATATTTTTCGAAAGAAACTGAACGGACCCATCAGGTTTCCAAATTCCACTACTAAATAATGAGTTTATAGTACTTGTCATAAAAAAAAGGATGAGCATATCGTACATTTGATTACAATCTTTATGTTTTCATAAATAAGGATTGCATGATAATATTTTTAAATTACCAATAATAGTTCTTTCGTCAAAAATTTCATCTAAAAAAATTTTGATTGCGCCTCAACAATATCAATTGTACTTAAACTGTTACATAGTTATAAACTCATAGTCGGTGATACAATCATAGTTACTATCGTTATTACATAACTGTGCATGAGATTTTCACCTTATACGGCCAAAAATAATTATAGGATTGTATCAGTATTCTTTTACGAATCTTGATATTTGTAGGATGGATAATTATCAGCCGAAGTTTAAATTAGACCAATTGAATTTAGTCTGTTATAATTATTTTAATTCGAAATTAAATAATAAAAAAACTTTTGAATTGATCTCATCCTTTCTTCAATTCAACAATCTAAGAAATAATTTCTAACGTATTTTGAAAATTTATATAAACCAGTGAAATTATTAATTAGATTTATTTATAAGAGGAGTGATTGATTCTCAAATGTTCTTAAAAGGGAAGAGATTTGGGATTTGGATAAAAAATCATTGATAAAAAATCATGTAGCCACAATTTTTTCATTTTTTATATTTTTCACGTAAAACGATGGTATTTTACTTGTAAAAATATAAAAAATATTCGCATGATTTTTTATCAACGGTCTGTATTTGTTAATCCTTAAGATTTCAGAAAGGAAATTCGACGAGAATCCAAATCTAGAGATTTGTAATGATAGGGAATACAGAACAAAGCAAAAAATTAATAAAATAAAGAGGAAGAAAATAGGAAGAGTTGGAAATGTTGGCCCCCAAATCACATGCAAGGCGTTTCAGCATGAAGAGGCCTTCTCAACGGTTGCTCTCAATCACGTGCCGCATTAAATGTTGTGTATTAAAGCTTAGTGGGCCACATGGTCTCAAGAAAAAAAGCAAATATTAAAGGTTGATGGGCCCGACCCGATTTTGTTCTCAAGGTTTCACCACCCGACCCACAAATAATAATTATAATATTATTTCAGAATTAAATCTCTCCAATTTGCAAAGTGATAATCTATTGGAACAAGACACACACAAAACACGAATTTATTGTTTTCCCCCCATAAAAATCTCTCCAATTTCCAAGTTGTTTCGTAAGGACGCTCAAACTGAGTTAATCCTATATGCATTAAGACCATTTCCAACCTTAAGTTAAAACTTAAATTTTTTAACCTATAAATAGTTTTTCTCACTCAACTCTTATGGATTAAATTTTTAACCCGAAATTATTAGAAAAATGAATTTAAAATATTTTTTTTTCTTCAAATAACTTAAAAAAATAGAATTATGTAGACTCTCCTAACTTAATTTTATGAACATTTTAATTTAAAAATATTTAGATTCCGATAAATATTTAAAATCACTAAACCGACACCATGAAACTCATGGAACACTATGGAAAAAATGAAACACATAATTTTTTTTTTATAATTACTTTAGTCATTAAATTTAAATTTGGATTGTTAGATCTTTTTTTTTTTACCATTGGATCTGATATTAGATTTTAACTGGTGGATTTAATGAAGTTATAAATATAAAATTAAAAAAAAATACATATATGGTGGGTTAACCCCACTAACTTAGGGGGAAATGAGTTTTGGGTTAAAATTTTTATTTATCTCCAGAGTTGGAGTAAGTTGAAGTAAATTTAGAACTTAAAATTTGAGTTTTAGTCCAAGAGTTAGAGTAGATATAAGTGAGCTTAAAGTTGGAGTACTTTTTACGTAAAAAACAAAAAAACAAAAAATTGGAGTACGTTCTTGTTCATAGTTTTCCGTTTGGGAGGTAGATTGTCTGTCCTCCTGTTTGGATGTTATTCTCATTCCCTCCTATTTTGTGCGGTTACGGCTAGGTTACGTCAACATTTTATATTGATTTTTTTTATAAAGATAATAAGACAAAAAGCAATAGGAATATAAAATGTTGAATTGACTTAGCTGTGACTTGTACAAATAAAAGAGGATGAGAAGGCATCCAAACAGGATGGCAGCCTTGTTCGGTTTTAGACAAAAGTACGAGTCGGGTACGCGTCCTGTCTGCCTGGCTAGCCATGCAAGCTTTTGCATCAACTTAATAATTGACTGAACGTTTGGCTGGTTGGAACATGGCAACTGGGACACAAGGACATAAGAATACACCGCATTATTTTCCCAAAACGAAAATAAAAATATTACACTACGTCGAGAAAAAAAACAAAATTGAAAAGTAATTGACTTTTTACATGTAAAAAGTCGATAAAAATTACTTTGGCAAATCTTCGTTGTGAAATACAGACGATAATGATAGCTTGTTAATATGACTTCAGAAAATTCAAATGAAATCCAATGAGAAAAAGAATAAGCTTGGTCAAGACACCGTCCTATAAAGGCAAAAGCTACGAGTTCGAGCCCTGTGAATCGATGGACAACCCGTTATTGGTGAAGCTAAAGTTTGTGGGTATATAACTGCATCGTATATAGTACCAACTAGCGTCTTTTTTTGGTACTACAACCTGGATGTCTTTTTCCTGATATGTAAATCCTAAAAAATACCTCCAGGATCCACCAAAACTTCACCATCTTTGAAATGCAAACAATCCCTCAACAGCCAAAAAATATTTTGAACTCAAAGGTTCTGCGAAGGAGTGCTCATGAGTTCAGTCCGAGAAGTTCATCTCCCGTATTGAAACAACATGAGTGTATTTGGCATAAGGATATACCGATACGAAGAGCCCCTAAAGACGTATATTACGTTTGCCGGATGGTGCCACCATCGCCTGAAATTTCTCCGCTGCTAAATCAAACGACATGATTCTTGTATGCACCGGTGCTGAACTCTCTGTATATTCAAACTCTAACCATTGCAAGAACCCACAACAAGCCCTCTATGAAACTGGTTCAGAGTAGGAGGTTGAAGCTGCCGGTTTTGATGCCGTCGACTGTGTGGCTGAGGTGGTTTTTGACAAAATAAGAACTGCATATTAAAGCTCGCCGCGACTTGGATGCACACAGATATTGCGGTGGAGATTTCTCCGAAAGCTGAGACAGTTTCGACAACCATATCGTATTGAGCGGTTCACTTAGTTGTGGGGATAAATACTACTAGTTCGTAATGCTAAGTTAGATTTTCCTGTTTGAATGTCGACATGTTTTCTAGATTCTGGCGGGCTTTATTGATACTGTATAGGAAATATTATCAATTACATAGATTCGGGTACGACACAATAAAGAAGCAATAGCTTTCCTGTTTAGTTGAGCCGACCATCAATAGGAAAATGAATTACACGAACCAGATTATTCAACTTGAAGTCTTGGACAGACCGGCATCTGCAGCGCTAGCTTAGCTAACTCTTTTTACTCCCGTTGGATTTATGGAGCTGTAGAAGCAATGAATTGGAAACTACAAATATTGAGCTCAAGGCCATCATCCCGCCTGTAACAAGCATTAAGAAGGATATATCAATTTCTATGCAAAAATAGTCGTACGCAATGGCATGTTTTGCGAGAAGTTTCAACGTTGCTGTATGGTCCAGTTCCATTCAAGCAAATATTTATAGGAATGAGAGAGATGATGTTACTCACCGGAGAGTGATGGTGTCATGGCAAAATCATATTGAGGAAGCAGTACTCCGGCAGCAATGGGGATGGCAAATAAGTTATATGCGATTGCCCAAGATAAATTTTGATACACTTTTGCCATTGTTGCCTGTGACAGTTCCAGGGCGTCTACAACCTGCGGGCAACAGCTTCCGTGGTTTAAGTATAAAAATGTAGAGAAGCTAGTAAGCCTTGTTTATGAGACTGTAAAATTACTTGAGATAATTTGTTTCCGAGAAGTATAATAGATGCAGCATTTGAAGCGGCATTTTCTTGCCCCTCAATCTGAAAAGCAATCCCAACATCCGCAAGTGCCAAAGATGGTGCGTCATTTATGCCATCGCCAACCTTCAGAAATTTAGATGTGTCAGTTTGAGCATCAACTCCAGAAGGCCTAGTTAGAGCTATTCGACATTTTACCAAAACCGCCATCGTGGAAACAAAAAGAAGTTCCATAAAATAATGGTTTCTCATTATAAATTGGTATAAGTGTGTGAGGCCACTACTCTATGTAGCTCCCAGCAACAGAGATTTACCACCGTTTTATGATAGCTTTGGCATAGCACAAAACATGTAAGAGAATTAGATTAGTGATCAAGGATGGTTACCATTGCAACGTGATGTCCTGCATCTTTAAGACTAGAAATAGCTCCAGATTTTCCCTGTGGAGTCAATGAGGACTTGACAAATTCATTTTCTATTCCAACAGCTTTCGCTATAGTTGCAACTGCCTCTTCCCTGTCTCCGGAAAAGAGGACAGTTCTGATACCCTTTTGCTGGAGTCTTGCAGTCAGAGAAACAAAATGTCAGCACATAAGGCAGAAAATAACTTGCTAACAATAAAGTAGAAAGATGATGCAGGCTATCAGATTGTAGGTCAATATATTACCTATTTACAGTATACTCAGCATCATGACGCAGGCTATCAGATATTGCGATAGCACCGATGATGCCTTCTCCTTCACGACCAACATATACAATCGTTTTTGAATAACTTGAAGGTGTTATGCCTTCTGATGATTGGCGCACTGTATGTTCTAGATTCGAAAGATCAGACACATTGGCTTTTGCCTGGAACCGTTGATGGACCCATTCCAAGCTACCAACTGCAACCAATCGGCCATCTACTTCTGCTAAAGTTCCAAAACCTGGTTCTGTTAATTGCCTTCTTGTGACTGGTATACTCATGTTCAATGATTTTGCTTTATTTAAGATAGCCCTTGCAATTGGATGTGATGCTGTATTCTCCACTGCAGCAGCAATTTGAAGAATTTCGGACTCTTCATACATGGAAGATGCAATACCAGAAACAGCAGGTTTTCCTTCTGTAAGAGTTCCTGTCTGAAGGTTGAGGTTTGGAGTGAGATTTCAGATTCACATATAAGCTCTCTACAGTGCAATGCATAACTTATTCACCATATCCATGGAACGTGAGTGCCAGTTTCTGTGTACGAGCATGATGTTCAGAAATGTAAATCTACCTTATCTAAAGCAATATAATCTACGCTGGCTAAGCGTTCAAGCACATCTGCTCCTCTCACAAGGAGTCCCTGCCTTGCTCCTGCTCATTTTTTCATGCAGTAAAAGTAAAATCAGAACTTTCCAGAACTACATTAATGTCATAACGAGTCATAATTGTAAGCATGTTTGAAAGGGCCAGCAGCTAACTGCAGCTCTCTTTTGACTAAACTGTCACATTCAAAAGTGTGTGTTATATGAGGAATAATATGCAACATCAAAGAAAATTTTAGGTGGTGTACCGAGTGAAGTCCCAACTAGGATTGCTGTAGGTGTGGCAAGACCCAGTGCACAAGGGCAAGAAACAACCTGCAAAAGAAACATGCATGCTTGTTTGAAAAACATAAAGGATAGGTTTTCCATATGAGATATATTCTCCACCAACAGGAAATATGTCTAGTAATTGGCAGATAGTTCAGAGAGAAATGAAATGGTACTGGGGTTGCTTAATCCAAATAAGGGATAGCCTTCGTATTTTAAGAGTAATGCTACCAGCACCAAAATAAATCCCAAATTCTACATGCAACCTGAAGTCACAGTATTTCATATTTGGTCACGCCTGACTTGGGTCTGATGTCAACTTCCACATATATGGTGACTAAAATATGGGAAAACAATAGTGCCTCTATTAGTGGTTTTATAAATTAATCGGTAATTATCTTGTTGGCATGATTACACAATTTTACCTACAACCTAAGATACAAATAAACCAACTGCCTAAATCATTTTTTTTTTTAACAACAGTGATTGACAATCATAAAACAACACCTCCAAAGGAAGTCAATTGATTCATGGAACGTCATACTAACCAAGACATCAACAGCAAGTTTCAAGCTCAACAGCAATGGATCTCCATCTGGCCCAGCAATATCGTTGAGCAAAACATCTGGAAAAATTTGTGTTCCAAAGTAGTACCTGGACACAAATTCAAAGCATAAGTATGCATGACTGGAAAGAACCATTTGGTACTCATGCATGACAATGTTTTCACTAGTCAAAAGAAAGCACGATGGTTCTTCAATATACATGAAGTTAAATAATCTTTTCAAAAAATAGCTCAGGCCCAACAGTTGTAACATGTGTGAGAGAGAGAAAGAGAGAGAGTGACTACCACCTACCAAAAAGCAAATGTTGTAGCTGATAGAGTCATTATACTGTATACAAAAGGTCCGGCTATTGAATCAGCAAGCCTTTGTATGGGCGCTTCATGTCCTTGAGCATCCTCAACCTGACAAGTATGACATCATTAATCGACTAACAAGTAAGGGTGCCAAAGTTAATTATAATACACAGACAACATCAAACACAGAAAATTTCCTTGCATTATTAACCTTTCCTCAATGTGGAAAAGTGTCTATCCTCAAATCATCTGTAACAAATTGTCCGTGTGAAAGTAAGTTACTTACCATGCGAACGATCTTGGATATCATTGAATTGGAACCAGTTGAAGATGCTTCAACCCGCAGAGGACCATCCTGAAATATGTAAACAAATGCCCTCATGCTTTAGGCATGCAAGGGACAATCTAATGGAATTACACATCACTCTCAAGCTAAAATAAACATACCCAGTTTATTGTTCCAGCTGAGACAGTAAGGTCTTTTTCCTTGAATACAGGAAGTGATTCTCCTGTGAGCATGGATTCGTCGACAACACTTCTTCCAGCCACAACTCTTCCCTGTTGAAGCAGTTTAGTTTCAGAAAACACTTAATCACAAGTTTACATGAACATTCAAATTAGACAAGTAATTGAACATTTGTTTTTTCAGTGATGGTCTCTGCAGACAATCCAAAATGCTTACATCCACAGGTATGGTTTCTCCTGGCAAAACCAACACAGAGTCTCCAACTAGAATATCATCAGTTGGGACTTCAACGCAAATTGCATCAGAGAAAAGTACACTGTTGCTGGAGGAATCATTTTCCGAGGAACCAATTACGAGTCTTGCTTGTGTGTTTATCAGCGACTGTCAAGCACATTCAAATCAAACTTGTGTTGGTATACTATCCACTATAAAATAGTGAAGTATAAATGAAGAAAAGCCACATCATGCATATATCATGACTAAAATGTATCAAATTTTATTTTTTCTCTACACGAGCTAGATTCTAACTTACCAAGAGTTCATTCATATCACTAGATGCCATGATCCTTGCCCTCTCCTCAAGAGAACGTCCTAGGAGCACAAAACCAAGAAGCATGACCTGCATACTAAAAGAGAAGAGCTTTATGTGAGAATCTCATCAACCAAAGATCTTTAGTATCTATATAATTATGTCACTGTAAAATGCAGGTTCTCAAGCAAATCTAGGCATAAGAAAGCCAAGAGAAATGCAAAATGGGATACCAAAAGGCTCAAGCTTGATACGGGATATCAACTACTTCTCATAGGATCGTGCAAAAAGCAGAAAATTTCATAAATGCTAAACAATACAAAGGTTGAAAGCAAAACCAGTCACCGGCTCATCGAAGAACGCCGCATCCCATTGAAGCCCAGGGTTGAGAAGAGAGACCTACATGAACGAAGCATTTAAATTTCAAAACTTTAACACCAAAACAAATTGGAACCAACTTGCATTGAAGTGAAAAACGAAGAATCAATGCTAGTTACTAAAACAAAAAAAGAGGGACTGACCGCACTAATTGTAAAAGCAGCAAGGGATCCGAATCCCACAAGAGAATTCATATTTGGTGATCCTTTCTTTAAGGCTCTCAGACCATCAAAAAGCAAGTCTGCCCGAAATTAGTTTCAAAAAGTTATCAGCAAATGCATGAAAAGTGAAAATTTGTTAGTTTCTACAGCAGAAAGCACTTCTACTTAGAAGATTGCAATCCAAATTTACTGAAAAATGCAAGTAAATTGCAGGAAGATCAACGAACCTCGGCCAGGTCCCAACAAAGCTCCGGTAGCTAAACCCGCCTTCACATACGAATTATGCAGCAGCTCCCAAAACGATCCTATTCCAATTGAAACCAAAATCCATTGTCGAAATCGAAATGCACCAAGTTAAACAAAGTTGGAAAGAGAGCATTTTTGGTTGTTAGTAATTTACCATGAGCAGCATGAATTCCAAGAGAATGCAAAATGTGAGAAGCATGCGATCCGCAGCACAATGCCACTAAAGTCCAAGCTAAAATCACTCTGTTCCTGCTCTTCACCAGCATCTCCTCCTTCTTATTCACCGTCTCCTTCCACTTCCTCACGCTCTCCGACACTCCCATCCCGGAAGCCCTCCTCTTGGAAGCGAATCCGCACTCCGTCAGCCTCCCCGCCAGGCTCTCCGCCGCGACATCGGCGGCGACCTCCGGCCTCAGCTTGATCGCCGCCGTCTCGGTCAGCAAGTTGACCGCCACCGAGTCGACTCGGTCGTCGGCGGAGAGAATAGATTTGACTCGCGAGACGCAGCCGCCGCACATCATCCCGGAGACATCGAGCAGCACCGATGCCTCGGCGGGTGGATCATTCTGGACTTGCTGAAGCGGCGCCGCGGCGTCGGCGGAGGTCTGGAGGGAGCTGCGGAGGGTGAAATTAGGGATTGATTGTGGGCGGAGGAGGTGGTTGGAACGGCGGCGTTGGGGGAGGTGGTGGGGCTTGAAGTTGAAGGCGAAGCGGTCAACACTGGAGGAGTTGGTGGTGTATCTGAAGAGGAGCTTGGGGTCAGAGGAGGGAGAGAGCCTCAGCATACTGTTTATCATTGCGCAGATTCTAGAGAGAGAAAGCTTAGTTCAGAGAGAGAGAGAGATCTGATAGAGAGAGAAGAGAATAACGTCAGTGGTGGAAGATGATGAAGGGGAAAGGTAGAGGTGGTCGTTGAAAATGAGTAAAATAAATGGCGCTGGAATTAAATTTAGTTTGCCACGTCGGATTCTTGCCCAACTCGTTGTCGGCTAGCAGCTCACCTCGTGTAAAATGAGCTCGGATACAAAATATTAAAAAAGAGAGTAATCATTGTAGATTAGTTTTTCTCGACCTCCTTAAGTAATATTTAAGTAATAATTCAACAAATAATTCATAAACTTTGGTCTAAATAAATGGTATTTGTAGTATTACTTTCTTTTTTTCAAACTATATGATCTGACAGTTGATAATTGAATGTTATTTTTAAATCACTAAAAACATGTTCAATCACTATGACCGACTCTCATCTTTATTCAACTAGTAGGTCTCACAATCTGGATAGTTAATTGTCACATTGATTTATAAAAGATATTCTAAATTTGGTTTACCTAACTTTTCTTTATTATTGTCATTTAAAACTATGATTTAGTGATATTCTCCTTCACTTGTAAATGAGAGGTTTTAAGTTCGATTCTGGTAAAAAAAAAATTTGAACCACATTATTGTTAGGAGTCTTAGCTTACTCTCTTTCGGTTGGTATAGATAATATTGTTTGTTCAAAAAAAAAAAAACTTTTCTTTATTACTATATTATTGTTAAGTGGGATTTCCATGTATTTCTTTAACACAATAATTAATTATTGAAATATGATTAAATTAATGAACAGCAAAATACCAAAGAAAAACGAGTGGAGAGGAAACGTCGTCGTTGGAAGTACACAACGCCAGGGAAATACAACACCAATTATCCAAAAATAGTCTCCCCTGATCCTACGCTTTATCTGGTTCAGCTTCTGCTTCCTCACCACCACCGAACGAAAATGGCTCCCAGCGAGTCGGCCTCCGCCACCGAAACCCCAAAACCTCTGGCACCAAGCTTTGGAATGCTACTTTCTTCCACCAACTTCGCACCATTTCTCAGAGCATCACCGTCGTCGTCATCCTCCAAGAAGCCCCATTTTGTTCTTCCCGACATTCAAGCTTCGATTGCATCCGCCGCCGATAAGTGCTCCCAATTGCTTCACTCTCTGGTTACTCAAAACCCGCTTCTCAGCAAGCTAATCTCTTTGCGCTGCGAATTTCAAAGTATCTGCCACCAGGTATTTCTATTTCCATCTGCATTATTTCTTTCATGATTATTTTCGATATTAATGCAACTATGCAATTGTAAACAATGCTTCCATTTTCTTCTTTGAGCTTTCCGATTCGTTAATATCGTCACACTTTAGAGAAAAACACTTCGGCTCTGATACCTTAGAGAAAAACACTTCAAACTCGATAATTTTGAGAAAAAACACTTCAATTCCGATACTTATAAAAATAAAAAAAAAACACTTCAAGCCCGATACTTTGAGAAAACACTTCAAGCCCGATACTTTAGAGAAAACCACCTCAAGCCCGATACTTCATTGTCGGTTAGAACATGACAAGTGGTTATGATTGAACTCTTTGAAGTGTGTTTTTATTGAATTATTGTTGTTGTTGTTGTTGTTGTTCAGATTGGGTGCAGGAAGAACAAGCAGGTGAAGGCTTTATCAGCTCACAATTTTGCGGCGGTTTTGCCGGGAGATTCAGTGGCGGGGCTTGTGGTGGCAAACGGCATCTCCAACTTCTTGAACTTGTACAACACTCTCTTGGTTGTTAGGCTTGTCCTCACCTGGTTCCCCAACTCCCCTCCTGCCATTGTTGGCCCCCTCAGGTATTGTAATGATTTGATTTGGTTGTCATTGCTTGATATGTTACGTTGTCACACTATGAATTAGGATCTAGGACTGCACAGTTCTGTATATTCTACTTGATCAATGCTCGTAATTTATAGTTTGACAGCATAACATGACCGATTGTTGGGTAAGAGAACGTCAAATTGATTATGATGTGGATTTGATGTGCAGCACAATATGTGATCCGTACTTGAACATATTTCGGGGGTTAATCCCCCCACTTGGAGGCTCATTGGATCTCTCTCCCATTCTGGCATTCTTGGTTTTGAATGCCTTTACAAGCACAGCTGCTGCATTACCTGCAGAGCTTCCAGCATCACCGTCGTCAGTAGCTTCCAAGAACTCACGGCTTCTCCTACCGGAATCGCTAATCTCTCTATATGTCAAAAGAAATGGATGACGAGGCTTCAGGGCCACAACAGCACAAAGAGCTCGGGCGGTGTCAATTAGGTTTACACACTATTATTCTCTTGTAATATCGAGTACCGAACATTAATCTTACGGCCTTTTTTCTTGGTTTTGTACTTGGCTGAAATTGCACAAATTTTTTGCCTAGCATAAAGATAGTGGTGCTATTGATGCTTTTCATTTGTTGCTGTCTAATTTGAAAATGTAAAAGCATTTAGCATTCGACCCCAAGCCAACAAGGTTGCTGCTTTGCGAGGGGTGGAGAGGGAACGTCTATCGTACACAGCCTTACCCTTACTTTGCAAAGAAGTTTCCACGACTCAAAGTCAAACTTGTGACCTTTTAGTCACAAATACACAACCTTTCCTTAGCAACCAATGAATGAATATGCAAGTTTGTATATTTGCCCATTTCTTGATGGATTTGAAGTGGACATTGTTGAAGTTTAGTTTTCACTTTTCAGGTCCAAAGAATGATTCCCAAAACCAATTTTCATGGATAAATATCGTGGGGCATTGAACTAGAGGAGGAAACCTACCTGTAACGGGGACGCCAATATGGTGCTATCCTCGACCGACTAAGCGTTGTCATGTGAAAGTAGCACTACAATGTCATTGTTCTTATCTAACTTCCTGCCTAGAAAAACGTTCGAACTAAGAAGTCATATAGGCAGCTCCAACCCCTCTTTGTTGGGTTTAGACTTTAGACCTAAGTTGATTTTGGTAGTTTTGTCGCTACCCAAATCTTTTCCTTGATAAATTGATCAAATTTTAGTGATATTTTCAACTAGGCCGACGACTTTAACATTTGTCTTTTAGCGTATTGCGCTCATGTGAGTGCGAAAAAATTATAAAATATTCAATTTAGAGTAGAGATGGTTAGCGTCAGATTTGCTATTCTACTCATACGGTAAGAGTCTTTGAAAATTCATGGGAAGCATGAGGAATCTGATTCCATTCAGCCACAACCAGTACAAATCATCTCTAAATTTTTGTTATTGGAGAATAATCTTTCCCACTCAGCCTTGCACTAGAGCCTTCGTGTTTAAGCTGATAACTTCTCCTCTTTCAAAGAGCATCCACAGGGGACTTTTCACCTTTTTAAGCTTCATAAGAGATCTAAGTTAGAGAACAGAAGGTGGTTTCTCCCGACTCTCCTAAGTTGGTATCATAAAATGGAACTTGGAGCGACGTGGAGGACGAGCAGGTTTTCATCGTACGAGAAGCTGGTGGCGATAGGGTTGGGCCTTCTAGCCGTGCTTTCTCCTCTCTACATCGACCGCAGAACTACAGATGATTCAGAGCTTGATTCGGAGGAGCCTATCAGCTTCGCTTCTTGGCTGCCTCTGCTGCTCTTGGTGTTGATCTTGGCCATCGCTTTGTCGCTTTTCTTAGATAGAAGCTTTTCCAGGTTTGATCCTTATTGGATTCACAAAGTTGGTGGTTCTTCGAGCGGCATAACAATAATTCTCATGGTTCTGGCTTTGGTTTTGAAGTGTAAATCTTCCATTAGGAACTGGGACGCTTGAGCTCAGATCTTTTGCAGTAATTGCTCGTTTCGCTGTGTAATTTGCTCTACGTTATGCAGAACAGAGTTCATGTATTTGTGTATATAAATAAGAGTTAGCAGCTTCTTCTCTGCATTATCTTTCCAGTCATACCAAATTACAAAAAATTTGAACCAAATAGATTGTTCATCAATCATCATTCATCAGTAATATAGAATAAATGCTTCTTGGCAGCCATTAGCCAATAATGTACTATTTTACAACTGAAGAAAATGAATGGCATTGATCGCACCGTTCAACTCTACATACAACGAATGCCAGAAACAAAACCCAAATTACAACAGACCAAAGGGGTTCCCAGAAATAATTGGAAAACAAATCCAGTATCTTAAAAACATGATCACAATCCAAAGGCATACCACATTGCAATCAGAGCCGTGGCAAAAAATGGCCACAGATGACTGCTTCTGGACCAATCATTGGCACCACTGGCCGGGTGATTAGATTCGCTGCAGTCGTCATTAGCACCACTAAAGCATCCGGGCCTTGTTATTTTAGCCTCACCTCCCTCCGTTACAAAGCTGCTGTTAGTTTTTCCACCGCTGAACAGCACACACCAGAAATATGGACCTTCGCCATCACTGCCACTCGCAGCAGCTCCCACTTCAGTGTGGTTCTTATTGTATAGAATGTCCAAGCCCTTGCTGTTTTCAATCAAGATTGTTGAAAATGCTTCGTCAGCGTGGACATATTTGGACTGGCAGCCAATTAAACGACCGGTGATTGGAGTGAGGGTTGAGGGTTGAACACCACAGTTGGGAGCAAATGTTTCGGCAAATGCAGAATCAGCAGGCTTCTTGGCATCAGTTCCTCCTACAGCATCGCAGTCACCTTCATACGCTTTTATGTACTGCAGGGCAATGCACGCCAAACCCTGGTTGCTGTAGAGGGATGATACTTTGTGTGCAGTTCTGTTGCTGTTAATTATATCGACTAGCTTATCCGCCGGGTTGTTAGTAACTTTGACTGCAATTTTCATTCATTAAGTCGGAGTTTATAAGTTTTTGTGAGCCTCAAGCACAATAATACCGACACAATGAATAACGAAACAAAAAGGAGAGATGTTTTGATCCTGACAAGAATACACTATTTGAGAGCATGTAACTGATAAGTCAAGCAGAAACCAAAAAAGCGAAAATCTGAACCCAATGAAGCGAAAAACAGAACACCATGAAGTGAAAAACTGAACCCCATGAAGCAAAAAACCGAACCCTAATGATGCGAAAACTGCCCCTATGCAGTGTAAAAAAGGAACCCAATGAAGCAAAACAACTGAACCTAATGAGAAGTGGGAAGCGAAAAACTAAACCATGGAGATTCTAAAATGTATCAAATTCGTATATGCACAGCATCAAATTAGGGGGAAAATGAATCACCTTAGTATTAAATACGTCCAATGCCAAATTTAGAAATCGAATTCTGGCAATGTTATTAGTGGCATTGCATCCCAATTCAGAACCCTCTGAAATCTAATCTGATGTTTTGGTCCCCATAAAACAAATCTTCAACCGAAGAGAATATTCAAATCTAATCAAAATTACAAGAAGCGGGATTCGAACTTGGATACAGAGTGGGGAGCAAACAGCTCTAGCCAACTTGGCTACGCCTGCATTCAACCGTCCCCTTAAACATAAAAATCCAAGATCTAAAATTCTAATATTGCTATGAAAAGAAGCAAGATTGTAAATTGAAAAGACTTGCCACCAACTAGATCGACCGGCTTAAAACCTAAGCTCTGGTCTTTAACAACGAAGATCTAAATCCAAAATAAACTCCAACCCATAAATTCACAGACTTTCATGCAGATACATAGATGAAAAGTGCATCCACATTGGGAAAGTACATCAAAGACAAGACATTCAAAGTTCAAACTAAAGAAACAGAAACCCAACAACCTTAAAGCAGCAGATCCAACAATTAGCACCCGCATAGAAATACATGTTCCAAATCTGAGACAGACATCACAAATTTTACAACATTTTCTACTTACATTGTTTTCTTCCTGTAAAAAACATGCATAAAGATGGAAACTTGGAATATATTTGCATTGAAGATTTGCAGGACACTTACTTTGGGTACCAGCTGAAGCAGAGACGACAAGAACAGAAACTACAAGAAAGAGAAAGAAAGTGCTGTTTGCCGCCATTGTTGCTGAGACTCAGGGGAGAGAGAGAGAGAGAGAGAGGGAGAGAGAGAGTTAAGGGCAGGAGAGGATGAGTGAGTGAGTGAGTAAGGTGTCGGCCTCACTTGGGTTGGAGCTTTTACTAGAACTGGACAGCTATTATTTGCAGGACCCTTCTTTTCTTCATGTTTTTAAAGAAAAAAAATTTCAAAAAAGAAGAAAACTTGTGTTTGTGGGTTGTGGTTGTTGTGGGGTCCTTGTGAGAATGGTATGGACCACCAACCGGGTCACCGGGTTGAACCCGTATTTGGGTATTGGATCTGTTGGTGTTCCTTCAAAGTTGAGCCATTTCTCACAACCACATTGCCAATCATTGTCAGTTTGGTAGACAACTGCTTTGCGCCATTTTGTTACGTGGGATGTCCAAACAACGCCTTAATTGAATTTAATTATCACCAATTATTGGTAGTTAATATAGTTTATGAATATGGGATATGAAGAGCATAATGGCATTTAATTATAATGGGTGAGTAGTTAGTTTAATATTGTATAGTAAGCATTCACATTGAGTTCAAACATTATTCCAAATATTGAATTACGAATTGTAACATGAAACTTAGACACTTTTTCTTTTAAAAAAATCGGACTATCTAGGGATTTCGATATGACAGTTTATTTTTTTGATGTCCGGAAAGATCCATAAAAATATTTCAACCTCTTCTAATTATCATTATGTAATTTACAAAAGTAAAAAATTGAACTCAAAATGTATTTTGTAAAATACGGATCTAAAATTTGTCATCAATCCTTACCCACTAGCGACCATGAAACTCACACTAGTTACGTCAGGTAAGCACATTGCCGCACACGACGCACGATACGCTTCAATTCATCAGAACTTACAATTACAATAATGCCCTTCAACATAACCCTATAGAAATTGTTAAACAGAGAATTTTCAAGGGCAAGTATGGCAATTCAGCATAGTCGAACGGATAAGACTCGCAGGTTTCTTCACAGTTGAGCTGTGTCTTGAGCATGGCCACGCTGAGCAGCACCGCGCACGTTAGCACCAACCCCTTCAGCTCCTCAATTGTCCCTCTCTCACAGCTCGTAAAGGTCGCCGCAGCATCAAAGAAGTCGCGGCGAGTGAGGTGCGCATTGCCACCCTCGAATTGGCGGGAGAGCAGACGATTGGTCTCCATCTCTCTCTCTCTCGCCCTCTCTAATCTGCTCCTTGTCCCTAACCGTACGGCTCATAAATCTTTATTCCCTGTTTGGCAGCAAAGAAAAGTAAACACTCTCTTTGATCAAAATTTAACTCAAACCACGTTGTATTATTGGGTTTAATGCAGCTGCTGTTGCCGGCGGATTCGACAAGTATGTGAAAAGGTAATTACAATTTTTACTTTATTTAATCAGTGTTTAGCTATTAGTACATTATCTTTCGGATACATCATACAAGCTTTAAGGTTTAGCTTTGGGAGGGGGCTAAAAGCGCTTTTGGCAAGCGCTTCTGATTGCATTTAATAGAAGGCATATTTGTCTGTTTGTTCCCTCAACTTGTATGGAGCTTTCAATTTTTTTTCTGAATTTTAATTGTAGCCGATTACCCTCTTGAACTTTTATAATTAGCTAATTTTCCTCTTGAACTTTAGTTTTAGTTGATTAACTCCTTGAACTTTTATAAATAGCCAATTTCGCTTATGACGTTCGATTTTAAAAAATTTCATCTAATTTTCCATCTATCTTGATCACGAAAACATCACATTACACCTGTATGAAGGCAAAAAGGATGGAAACTTGGATGGATGAAAAATTGAATGAAAGTTTTTAAAATCAAACGGCAATAGGGGAATTGGCAATTTATAAAATTTGAAAGGGTAATCAGCTAAAATTATAGTTCAAGGGAGAAACTAGCTAATTATAAAAGTTCAAGAGGGTAATCCGTTAAAATTAAAGTTAAGGGAGGAAATTGGCTGCTCTATACAAATTTAGGGGGCAAATCAACAAATATCTCTTAATAGAAAAACTTCCAAGAAAGTACTTGAGTTTTTAACAAAATTTGAACGTGTTTGTCATAAAAACAGTTTTGCGTCTTATGAGCAGAAGTGTTTTTAAAGAATCAAATTCCAAACGATCCTATGGAGGACAGGACCATTTGGGAATGCATTATGTACAAAGCACTTGTGGTCATAAGTGATTTTGCTAGAAGCGTTTTTGTTAGGATTACATCATTTTATTCTATTCAATCCAAGTGCTTCGAGCTCCAGAAACAATTTTATGACCTAAAAGTACTTTTTAAGTTTTTTTTTTTTCTGCTAGACGCAGTTATTATAAAGCGCTTTTAACCCATGCAAGTAGCACTGATCATACCTAAATATGATAAACTCAGGAAGAAGCTCGACCCTCTCGAGGCTTATGTGTCGCCAGTCATACTCACCCAATTACAAATCAAGGACTTGGGTAATTTCCTTTGCCTTTGTTTTCCTTCTTCATTCATTTCTCTAATGTCATTTTCGACGATTTATCGAGGCTTATATGTCAACAACTGCAGAGAAATCTCTGGAAGGTGATCAACCCCAGTTTGCTACTTGCCGGTCTCTGCTGCGTTCAGGCCCTGCAGCGTCCCTTCGCATAAATATTCGAGCTGTAAGTTGAGGATTCCTTGAATACCATCAGTCTTCATGCTTTTTTTTTTTCCATTTGCTTTATGTTATTGCAGTTTTTATGTGATAAACTCCTAAGAGCTTTGGAAATGTTTTCGGGAACTATAGGTGGCGCAGTATGCTTCAGATGATGGTAATGGGAAGGCTGCTTCGAGCGATGTTGATCAATGTCTCAGGTACCATTGCTTTCTTGACGAAACTATGCTTCTTCTGAACTGGGTACAGGAGCAGTCACAAGCTTATGACCGATGTCAACTAACTTTTAAGACGGAAATTGTTTCAATTTTTGAAGGGCCTTGGAGGAACTGGATTCCTTGCTTTTGCACGCAACAAGGAACGAACGAGCTCCGGTCAGTTCGATGAAGGCACAGATTGATACTGCCCTTAATGCGTTGGACAGGTGAATCTTTACCTCCCATCTTGTTTCACTTACAATGTCAGTCTCCGATTTTCTGAAAACCCGTCTTCTTTGCAGCCTCCTCAAAACTGTACCTTCGGAAGTGCTAGACAAGGGGAAGGTAGCGGCCGATTCTTACCGGAACTCATTAGAGAACGCAGATCTTGATATTTCGGACCCGGACCTGAAGCAGTTGGAATCGATATTGTAAATACAGGAGCTATGAAAATCTCCCAACACATACACGGATGGTTTGTATACTTTGTATGGTGATACATTGTTTTTCCTTTCACGGTTCGATGCATTCCTTGTACAACAAGACCTGAAACCAAATCCTTACCGGCAGACGATCCAGGTGTGACAATACACATCTTTGAAATTCCGGTTCAAAAATAGCGAATCCTTGTGGAAATTTCGGGAAGCCGAAAATGGAACTACGAAAAATTAATCAAGAATCGCAATTTATTGTATACACAAAGGCAGTACCAAATTCAGAACCCTATACACACGGTACTCAATCGTTTAGAATTCCACTCGTCCCGAAAAAATCGAATAAGAAAGGTGAACAATAGGTCAACATAAAAGCAAACATTACTTATTGTATGGGTTACGTAAGAAGCCTATGTCTGCTACCTATACTAATACCTAAATCAAATACAAGCACAATCGATGACACCATTTACATACAAGTTCCGGGATCGATGACCACATCTGTTTGCCGGACTACAAGCCGAATCCAATAAGCCCCCGGAAGAAAAGATGCATTTCTTGCTATAATCAAGACTGTTGCAGGCTGCTGAAGATGCGCTTCAAATTAGGGCATGCAGCACGTAATTTCCCCATGCTCATCGTGCTTATCTGTCAATCATCATAAAAGACAGTATTATAAGAGGTAGGTTTTCTTACAACGATATGGTGGCGAAGGAGAGAGAAGATTGTACTGACCTTGGGACAAAAACGAACATCAAGAGTCTCCAGCATGCTACATTTAGATATGGCAGCTTCCACTGCTGCTTCATCAATGTTGCAGGACTAATACAAAATCCCAGCAAGAAAATGAACTTAGGGAGCAGCAAACAAAATAAAACTAATTTTATAGGAAAAAAAGAAGAAAAAAGAAAAAAAAAAGAAAAGATATAAATTTAAGTCTAACCGTACCTCTCTTAAAAAAAATTCCCCAGTTACACTGCCTTTTCAACAATTTGTTTATGGTTGAACATGAATTTTATGTGGTAATGAATATTTTTTTAAGGTGATAATCCGTATTATAACCACAAAATGCATACCTGAAGAAAGAGACTAGTCAATTTCGGACAGTCAAGCTTCAAAACTTCCAAAGAAGTACAATTGCTGAAAGAAAAAACAGAAACGTTAGTAACAAGACAAAACATCATGAAAATCAAGAACCAAACATACAAAGAGATTTTCAAACTAAACAAACAAATTACCTCAAATTAAGGAAGCAGAGGTTGAAACAAGCGACATCAACGTCCTTTAAATTTGCAGAAAGAGAAAGGTTTAATGATGACATGTGGAAACAACGTGCTGCTTGTGGAATGACAACTTTCCTAATATTTGGACAGCCTACACAGTTGAGGTTCTGCAGTAACCGGTTTGGCTGCTCAATTGGAACCTGCACATTCTCAGGTAAAAACATGCCAGATAGGACAGCAGGTTGCCCGGCACTGCTACCCCAATTCAGGTCATGCATGTTCACACAGCCATTCAAGCTCACATGAGTTAAGTGCGTGCAAAAAGAAAGAAGCTCCTCGATAGCAGACTGACAGAGGGTTCCGTAAGACAAATCCAGTTCTTGGAGAGCTGGAAGAGCCCCTTCCTTGTACAGAGGCTCCAAGGATGAGTCAGATAAGTACTTGCAAGCTTGTAACTTTAACACCTGGGAGACGATAAGATCCAAAAAATCATGTCAAAAAATCTGCCCAAGATTCTTCTAATTTAAGTTCAAATTAAAAACAAATCAACAAATTATGAGTAGGAGGACCAACATGCTATGTAAAATATGATATGGTAGGAGGACCAACACGCTAAATTTAACAACAAATCAACAAAGTATGAGTTGTACAAATCACCTTAAGTTTCATACAAGACTCGAAAACTGGCTTCAAGTTCATCAAGAAAGTGTAGGACAAATCAAGCGCAATTAAATTTGGAAGGCAGCGCAAAGAGTAGAGTCCATCAGAACCAACAGAGGGGCATGACATTAGAATTAAAGACTCAATCAGCGGGCATGAAGCAGCAGTTGCAGACAAGCAATCATCCCTAAGTTGACTGCATGTGCAAATTAATAGAGATTTGAGTTTAATTGAGCCTGAAACACTAAGAGCAGAGCGGGCAGGCGGGTAGGTAAAGTATTAATAAGTAATGAAAATAACCTGCAAAAGGAAGCGTCTAGAGACGTTAATAATGGACAATTGATGGATACTTCAGCTAACACGCCACATCCCTTCAGCTCAAGCAGCACCATATTCGGCGCTTCGATACTGAGCACATTCAATTTGGGACATATTCCCAAATTTAGTGACCTAAGACCAACCTGAAGAAAGGAATGAGAAAAGGATTCAGTTTTCTATTGACTGCTTAATGTCAGAATTAAAATGCAGTGAAAAAAGTGTGATAAGCTCATGACCTTATATAAGGGCAACATAATGCATATTGTAAAACTCATGAATTTTCATAAAAATCTATTTACTTTACAATCATTATATCTTACTGGACAAAATGCTGCTCTTTCAAGATGATCACAACCATCTAAAGAAACTTGTTCAAGATAGGGGCAAGTCAGTTCGAGAGAAGTAATTGCCCGGCAACCAACAAGTGAGAGGCTGACTATAGAAGTGCTGCAGAATCGAACTGCGGTTAAGCTCTGGGTGAAGTAAAACATTATGTCAGCAAAAGGAAATATACATACCAAGAGACAGCTGATAACTCAACTGACCAAACAAGTAATTAAGGACGATTCAACCCTCCCTGAGTAACAGACTAACAGTCCAAGTATCAGGGGGAACAAATAACATTCAAAGAGTTTTTCACAATCCCCTACATGATTCAGGGGAATAACCAACAGGTCATGCATTTGTTGACAACATGGTTTAAACTCACAAGTTTATTGCATCAATATACAGTCTTACATAAGAACACATCAAGCAATTTCAAACTGCAAAATTTTATATCATCCCATAAGCCAGCGTAATCATTTCTCAACAGTATTAACTCAGGTAATAAGAAGAGATAAATTGCCAAACCTCACAGTTTTCGAGAACTAATGTTTTGAGCAAAGGACACCCACCACCATCGCTGAAAACATCACATATAGAATTTGTTAAAGATTCACAATCTGTAAGGTCCACTTCTTGCAAACTTTGGCATTGCAGTGCCAGCGTGGTTAAGCTCTCTTGCTTTTGCAGAGCTAGTTTCTGCAAATTCCAAAGACAACTCATTCAGATTTCATGTGTCTAATAAAATGAACGCTAAAAGAATATTAATGGTTCTTCAAAAGACTTACCTGAAGTGAATTTGAAGTGATGTTGATACGATGGAGCACAGGACAGTTAGAGACCATTATTGATGACAGCATGATGCATCGTAGATTCAAATCAGCAAACCTGCAGGATAAATATGCAAGATTAAAAAATTTCTAAACAAGTAAGAGAAATTCTCCTCCCCAATTGGGAAGCTTTCCAGGTTTTTTCCACAAGGGAGGAAGGACTGGAAGAACATGAACTTACTTGCGACAATGTACTAGTCTAATATGCTGCAAGCGTGGAAGATCCAAGTTGACAGCAGTAAGTAGACTGCAATTGTCAAGCTCCAAAACCTACAATGAGTAATAATCAGATTAATATGTTTAAGGCATTCAGCGAGACAGCACAAAAAATACCAATACTTGAGACCGGATTTATACCTCAAGCATGTAACTATGAGATATCGCAACCATTGAAGCCGAAGTAATGCCCTCACAACTGTGAAGCTTAAGAACCGTCAACATTGGCAGTCTTACAGACTTCAAAAGGAAAACAATGCACAGAAGCATGTCAAATAAAACTAAATGCAAATATTGCTAATAAAAAAAGGGCAGCGGAAACCACTACAAACTAACCTCAAGGGATATATTTGGACAGTATGACGCATTGAGAACATGGAGATTAGCACAAGTAAGAGCAATCTCACGTAGAGTTTCATCACTAACACATGAACAATTTGACATATCTAAAGACTCTAATTGAGGGCATGAAGTTGCCGCTGAACGAATTGCAGCATCTGAAAGCTTGTGGCAAGAGCCTATATCAACATCATGCAAAAGAGGGCTATTAAGAACAGCCTGCGCCATGTTACTGCGCTTCAATGACAGAGTTTCGAGTTGCGGACACCTGCAGAAAATCAGATTTAGCACAAAATGTAACCAAGCAGACAGTATGTAACAATTCAATTATAACTAAAAAAATCACCTGATGGATATGCGCATAACACGACATTTTGTTAATTGAAGATGACAGAGTCTATCATGGTTTATAGGTATCTCCTGGATACCATTCCCGAGAGTAGCATCATTGATGATCAAACTTTTCAACATTTGACAGTCTGCCAAGGAATGGAAAAAGATGTCCCCTAGTTGCCCTTTACCTAGGATTAAAACCTCAAGATTCCTGAGAAACAAAAAAAAAAAAAAAGTTACGTGAACTGGAAACTATATAAAAGAATCAATAGAAGAGCATAAATATTTAGAAAAGCAATTTACCTCAATGAAGAGATAGCTTTCATGACAAGCAAGTGCATAGCAGGGGTACCAGAAATATTCAATTCTGTGGCATTGGGATACCGCCAACATATGTCCTCAACTGTAATTGCATATAAAATAGTAATAAGCCCACAATTTTATATGATATTAAAATTCACACACGTTAGAATTTACAAATGGAAACTAAAATTATATAAACTCAACAAACACATTAACCATGTCGCATAAACTATGAGTACTAACCACCCAACTTTTAATCTAATAAATGAATACTTCCCAAATGCATTATCCATATCATATGCTATGCCATAACACAAGCAGTAAAATTACATACAGAAAAAGAGGGTGACCCCAAGCCAACAAGGCTCCCTGCTTTGCAAGGGCATACAAAGAACCAACCAAAACATGGAAAACCACTACACATTTTAGAGGGGGAGAAGACAACATTCGGCCCAAAACACATCAGTGACCAGTGGTACAAATTCTCTACTTACTTGGCAGTTAGCACAATAAATCTTCAGTTTTTGTACTTAATAGCAGTGAACCACAAAAAAAAACAGTAGAACTCACATTGATCCACAGATATACTTCGATTCTCAAAATTCAGACACCTCCAGAAATCTTCATGAGCACTAGCAGATCGCCACTGCCTGCAGACTATTGCAGCTCGGCAAAGATGAATGTGGTCCAAGAAAGAGAAGACCTGACAATAAGGAGAATATGATATTAACAATAGTAATTATAATAACATAGTTAGGACCAAAAGTGATAATAGCCCTTCATTATATGCACTATACGCAAGGCTATGCTTACCATATGTAATAGGTCATCTGTAAGATCCATTCGAACTTCTAAATCTTCTGTTTTTGAGGTGCCACTATTATCCCCTTCATCATCCTTACCACTTCCAGAATCAAAGGGGCCTTCCTCACCACCATTATTAGTAGTAGTATCTTGAAAGAATGTCTCACTCTTAAATGGAACAAAAGAGCTCTGATTTATTCTGTAGTCTCTGTCTGCAGATGAACTGGAATTTCCCGCACCTGAAGACATTGCCATTGCATAATGGAAATCACTGCAAGAAAAAACGTCGTGGACAATCATGAGTATCTTCATTCCCAGCTGACAATCAGATTATACTGAAACCAAATAAAAGATAACCATATACCACATACTCATTAGGTTAAAGTAAATTATTCCCAGCTGACAATCAAATTATACTGGAACCAAATATTCTAAAACATATAAACCTCTAAACTATTAGTAATGAAACTAATCAGTTAATCTTACATCCCCAATTATTCACCCAGTAGCTATTAAAGGTCAATATTTTTGTAACCCCATAGAAAATTACCTAAAATCTACCAATCAATCAACATTGAGAGCAAAACCCACAAAAATTAGAGAGAGAAAGAGAGTTACAGTGAGAAACTCACTGATTAAAGGATTGAACTTTGGCTCGCTTATGGTGCGAATCGTGATCACCACCATCGTCTGCAGCCGAGCTACTCTCGCCTTCGGAAAGCCGAGGGTTCCTAATTGAGGCCCTCAACGACGCAAGAGCGCCAACACACAGAGACTCGTCCCACTGAGCACCACCACCGCGCATTGCCTGAACCATCCCTTCAAACAATCTCAGATGGTCGTCACGGCCGCGCTCATTCCCCACCAGCCCCAAACTCTGAGCATTGCCGTCAATTTCGTCGCCATTCCCAACGGCGACCTCCGAATTGCCGTCATTTCCGAAATCCCCCTCGTTCATGATCGCCTTCGCCTCGCTATCGTCCTCTTCGGGTTCGTCTCCTTGGGTGAAGCATAGGCAGCACCAAATCTTCATGCACTCGAAGAGCAAACCCCTCGGGACCTCAGCAAACCCTAGGTCGCGATCCGACGCATCTCCATCCCCCTTCCGACTCCTCCCCAAAAATTAAAACCCTAATTGTCGCAGAAACGGCTTTTGAAACCCTAGAAATTGAGGACCGTCGATTCGAATTTTTTTTATTTGGATTTTCAATACGAATTACAACACGAATTGATCGATATCGACATTAATATACAGACTTGAATTGGGAAATTGAGAGGGAGAGAGGGAATTTCAGCGGATCTGACCGGGGATCCTCCTGAAAGTGCTTATTTGCGGTGACCTGCTTTTTTAGTGTACCCTCGAAAGTGCTTTTGAAAATAATCTCTCTGTTTATTTTTCTACTTGGAAATGAAACTGCAAGTCTTGCAATAAGAGAGTCTTCCTTACAAAAAAAAAAAAAAAACAGAAAAAGAAAAAGAAAAACAGAAGTATTTATAGTGTCAACATGACGACGTCGTTCCCCTTTGTCTTTATTTTTGTAACTTTCTTATTTGCTTTTCTCTTTCCTTTTCTGCTATTAGTTGTTTGGGCCGGCTAGTAATTTTTTACAAAATGACTTTTGAAAACCTGTTTTGTAAAACGGAAACAACAAATATGATTTAAATTTTGTTGGGAATGTGTTTGACAATTGATTCCGATAATGATTTTAGAGAATTAAAACATTGAAAACGCATTTTGTACCCAATGTCAAAAAATAAAAATAAAAATTTGTATTTTGTAGTAATGGTAGATGTGGTGGTAAGGATGATGGTTGAGATGAGAATGGTGTTAGTAGCAATGGTGGTTGAAGTAGTGGTAATAGCGGTGACAATAAAGATGTTACTGTGTGAGCAGTGGTGGGATATAAGTGATGGCAATGGTCGTGTAGAGGGTAATGGTGAAGGGTGCGATGGTGGTGATGGTCATTGTGATGGTGGCAGAGAATGGTTGTGTTAGCATTGCTTATGAGAGATGGTTGTGAAAATAGTGGTTGAGATGTGGGGATGATGGTGGCGAAGATGGTGAAGGTAATGGATGGAGAATGTGGTAATGGTGGTGGTGCCAATGGTGCTACGAGATGGTGGTGACCGCCACGGTGTGATGGTGAAGGTGGTGATGGTAATGGATAATGTGGTGGTGGTGGTGGTGGTGGGGGTGAAGGTGATGGGTGAGGTACATCTGGTGTTGGTCATAGTGAGACGGTGGAGATAATGTCGATACCGACGATGGTGAGATGGTGAAGGTGGTGGTGGGCATGGTAGCGAGGGTGATAACGGTCAAGGATATGGTGGTGGGAGGTAGTGTTGTAAAAAACGATGGTCATGTTGGTGACATTGGTGATGGTAATGATGACATACGTGATTTTATTTTTATCAGAACTGTAACTTAATTTGTTTTATAATGTATCTTTTATTTTTTTTATTATTTTGAATGTTTTTGAAATACATATAAAATATAAAAGTAGGCTAAATATTGTTTTTTGCATTTTTTGTTTTTTGAGTTTATTTTCACAAAACAGTCTGTTGAACCCATTTTTAATCCATCAAAAAAACATTATTTTGCAAAACATTAACAAATGTACCCTAATACGCTCATTGATGTGTTTATTTTTTTATTGTCAATTTCTTTATATATTTTCTTTTGTCATTCCATGCTTCTTACATTTCAAAAAGACTTAGAGAAATATTATCCGAACCCAATTGACGTATCTCTACATCAAACTTAAAATTCTTTTAAACTTCAACTTTGCTGTTAGGTAAATAAAAAGAAAATAAAAATTAGAACTTGTTGGATGGCTTCGGCCATCAACACCTCTCCATATTTTCGGTGAACCCAATCGAAGTTCCAGCAACCATTGATGCTCTCCTTTCTCTTAATCCTTTGTCTCTTGTTTCTTTATGCGAACTTAAATCCAATCAATCGGAAAAGAGAAGCCGGTACGAAGTGGAGTTATATAGTGAAAGATAACAGAACAAATTATTTAATCTCAACTCTGTAACTTGGAGTTATACATATAAACCATGAAATTCAAACAAGGAAAACTCAATACAACAAGACTCCAACAACGGTTATATGACTATGTCCTTATTGGACAGGAATTGCCGAATTGGTTTCCAATAGGAACTATAAGAGGTCACATTGATGACTGATTGGAGTTATAGATGGTTTTGGGTTTTCAAACAGAAATTTAGAGCGGAGTCATGTTGCAGCAACCGCTGATAGCGTATGATGATTCTTATTCTTTTAAGGTGTAACAGTTGTGAACTACCTTAAGGAAATTTTTTGACAACGTTTGGTTGGGTTCACTGAAAAGAATGGAGGAGTGCAAATGTGTGGCAAGATTTGGGTTAGAGATTGGGTGTAGAGATAAAAACACAAATTATTATTTTATTATATTTATTTATTTTAAGGTCAGGTTTGAGAGTTTGAAGGATAACATTATTTAATTAAGTGTAGAAATAAAATAAATGGGTCCAAATAAAAATTCCCAATTGTTAATGTTTATGTGATAAGGTGGGGTTTATGCTCTATTTAAATCATTGTTCTTTAAGAAAAAGGAAAATATTTGGAAATCTATATTGTGTCCTGATTTTCCCACCTAAAAGAAAAATCATAGAAGGGATATTTGTTTGGTCAAAATAATTGGTAGCATTTAATGAGTAAGAATATCTAATTAAAAAGAAGAATATGTCAACACAATGCCTTGAATTTGTCTGATTTCGTACAATGAAAAATGAGAAAAATAAATACTATATAGGCTAAATTTTAGATTACTATTCCAAGTAAATTCTCATGTCGAACTTAATTGATTATATCAACTAATTTTTAGTTTAGTGATTCTTAATTTCTGGTATCTTACGTTCAATTCAGGCTCTCTATTTATTTGAAAAAAATAATCTCAAACAATTTTGCAACAAATATATATTATAACTGTGTACAATTGCTCACACAGATTTAATAAAAATTGGTGGAGTCAGAAGCAACCATCAAAATACAGGAAGAGTGTTTTGTGGGGGTAATTGGACAACACGTGGCACGACTGTTCTTCAAAGCTAGATTAATTTCAACTTTGATAATTAAAGAATGATGAAGCATTACCCATATGTGATATTAAACATAGTGATAAACTTGCAAATTGGGGAACACGTAGGCCCCAATGGACATAATAAATTGTGGCAAAAAGATGTTAAGAAATCCGCCATGTCTTTAACCCTAAATCTTAAACACAACCTAAAGCTTGTCCTGCCCATCAAAATGGTAGACAACATTGGACTTGCCCACAAAAGGTTCACATTTTCAAATATCAAAATTTACTTGAATCTTCTAAAGCCCAAGCCTTCACTAGCTTAAAATTACAAAACAGGCCTCACACAAAAAGCCCAAATATTTGATGATGGGCTTGATCCATTTCTTTAATTTGCTTCAAAATGGAAGTATTAGTTGTGGCTAATTGAAATTAGGATGTTAAATACATGGGATAGTGTCACGTGCTTAAAGGTAATCTAGGTTCAAGCGTCAAGGATTTGTCCTTGACATTTGCTACACGTAGCAAGGAAGAGAGACAAGGTAGCGAATAAATGCACAGTGCTGCCCCTTCATATTTTCTCAATTACATTAGATCTACAACAGTGGTGGTGGTGCGTGACGAACAGTCATCGGCCGCTGCACTCGCTGACGCCGGAGACGGCAGGGGGTGGAGAGGTCATTGGGTCGGATGCATTGAGGGGCAGGGGGGCCAGCTGACCCCCCCAACTTCGGTGAACGTCCATAGATACCTTGGTTGCTGACCCGCCAAACTTTGGTAAATGTTCATGGATACCTTGGATGCTGCCCTTTTGAAGATTAGAGTTGGCTTCATACACCCTCCTACATCATCATTTTTGGACAAACATATTAATGGGATGCAATGATATCAAATATTATTAGTGTGTTCAAGATAAGTGTGCTTTTTTGTTAAGCATTCATATAGGAGCAGTCTTGGAATATGTTAGTTACCCTCGCAATTGAAGCATTAACAGGTGTGCAATATGTCTTTCCAAATAACTTTAGGTTTACCAAGACTCAATGAAATGACGATATGCATGTTATTTCTGGTAAAAAAAAAAATGTGTCCGCGCAGCGTACTATTTTTACTTATCCCCCTAATATTATTTCCTAGATCCACCACTAACTCCAGATATGATTTTTTTTATTTTTTTAATCCTGATTCGGTTGAGACATATATGCTTTAACAATACTCACATTCGAACATGCTAGAGCATAGATTAGCATTGGGAATGGTTAGATTCCCTTCCATCGTAACAAAATAAAAGTAAACAGCCGAATATTTAGCTCATCGATCCGTGGCTTTAGTTTCCACAGCATTCTCTCGATACTTCTCAACTTTCCATGCTTAATTTTCAAATATTTGCAGCCTTTTGCATGGTTCAAACCTTCAACGTAACATGTTGTATATATTATTGATTTTAATGCATGGTCTGAGCTTTGATACAAAACACACACTACTTTCACCCGCGGTAAATACTAAAAGTAAAACACGTGATTGCATTTACATGGCACGTTTACAAAGAACGTATACGATGCTTTTTTGCATGGGAATTTAATTAACCAAGGCAGTTCTTTTTCTAATCATGAGTTTAAATATTTTGCATTTATTTTATGTGTAGTTTTTATGTGACATTTGTTATTGATTGATTCGTGTTAAATTTATGAAAGTTGAGTTAAGAAGAGTTAAATTTATAAATACATGTTAATTAATAATAGAGATCACAGAGAGACTACAGATAAAATGAATCACAAAAAGACTACAGATAAAATGAATTCGAAAGATTTGAATTCTCTAAGAACATATTCGATTGTAGCTTACAAGAAATCATGATCTTATAATTGCCTTCTAAAGCCTGATACGGGGCGCACAGTACCACAACTTTTCTCTACTTTTCATGAGAAAAAGGAAAAAAAAAAAAAAAAAGGAAAAAAAAAAAAAAAAAGAAAAGAAAATTAAAGGGAGAAGAAGGAAAGGTAGAAGATAAGTAAGATTTGATTTTCATTGAAACCAAAACAAACCAAAGCGAAGCTCGAGGTTTGGTAAATAAGATCCAAATCGATTGGGAGAAAAAGTGGAAGCTTTTTAATTTTTTTGCATGGTGTGTTTTGATCTTTTTTGCATGAAAAGAGAATCTGATGCCCTAACTACACGCCTAATTAGCAACACTTTTTTTTCCATCTCTTTTTTGTTGAAACGAAGACTAGTGGCACTTTGGACAAGTTGAAGTCAAATCATCTCGAACTGAACATCAAAACCAGTTAAGGTTATCCTAGATAAGACATAATTAATTTTGAATTAAATCGAGTGGTTTAAAATAATTAAACAAGTTCAGCT